TGCATCTGTAAAGTCTTTAGTTTTTCTCCATCTAATTTTACTTTCCAGAATTTTTTTCCCACAGCAGAGAGGGATGTTTAATTGTTGTGGTGATTATCATAGTTATAGTTAATATTATGGGCTCCTGAATTAAATAATAGACTTTATTACTTCTTTCAATTTCTACAACTTTACCATTTTTAAATGTTTTTAATAGGTTTACTTATTTATTTAATTTTTTGTGGGGGGCGGTAATTAGGTTTCTTTATTTATTGTATTTTTTAAGGCAGTCCTGGGGACTGAGCCCAGGCCCTCCCGCATGCTAACCATGCGCTCTACCACTTGACCTATCCGCTCCCCACCATTTTCTTTTTTAAATAACTTTTTCCTTTTTTGAGGGGAAAAGGTGTAATTAGGTTTACTTATTTATTTTTGTTTATTTATTTAATGAAGGACCTGGGGATTGAACCCAGGACCTTGTATATGCTGAGCACACGCTCTACCACTGAGCTGTCTCCTCTCCCTAACTGCATCATTTGATCTGTCTTTGCCAGAACTGAAAATAAGTCACTGCGACAGTCATGATCAGACCATGGGGAGCTGCGAGGGGAAGGCTAGGGGAGGGCCGCGTTAGGGCCCCTACCACTCCCTGCCGGAGGGGGCTGCGGGTAACATCCTTAGAGCCAAAACAGTGAACTGACTGCAGGAAGTTGTCCGTGTTCAGATATTTCAACTGTTACAGACTTTTGAATGGCTGTTTTTTTTTAATGGTTTAAAATGTTTTATTGCCACAAAACGTCACAGCTGCCATCACAGTGGCCCACCAGAATCCAGCCCCTGCAGCACACCTGCACAGCAATACTGTCCTGAACCCTGCCTCTGGCCTTTTTCTCTCATCGGCTGCGTCCCCTTGTCCCTAACACATCCCCCTGCTTGCGGCCCCTTTGAGAAGGGCAGGCCAGGCAGGGCTGCTTTGACCTGACAGCCTTGAACGTTCATGAAGACTTTCTTAGCCGCCTCGTAAACAGCCAGTGTTTGTTGGTAACAGTAACTACAGGTGTGAAGGCTTACCGTGTGCCAGGCGCTGCGCTCGGGGCCACGAACACGGGAGGGCCTGTTGTCCTCCAGGGTTCCAGTGGGGTGACAGACATGCAAATGCAAACTAATGATGTAATAAGACGAGAATGACTTTAATGGACGTCTGAACAGCGTCTTCAGTGCAGAGGTTCCAGGTCACCTGCATACTCCCCCCTGCTCCCGCTGCATCCCCCTGCCACGACTGAAGAGGAATCCCCAGTCACCCCTGTCTTGCGCAGTTCAGTGAATGGCACCCCCATCCCCCCGCATTGTCTACAGGAGTCTGCATGCTCTGCACATCTGTGGGCCACTTAACTGCATCACCAGCTCTGTCTGGTTGCGTGTTAAGTGTCTCCTGTGTCCATCTGCTTCTCCCAGCTCCATTCAGACCCCAGCTGAGCCACTTCCACCCTCCAGATGACAGGGGGGGGGCCATCATTCCCTGGCTTCCCTCCTCACACCCTCCACACCCGTGTGCGTGTGCACACTACACAAATGTGCAGTTGAAACACACACATCTTTTGCTGTTGCTTTTAGGTTAAAGATAAAAATCCTTAATAAGGTCCCGACCTGCCTCGCCGGCCTTATCTCAGAGATGCTATGTTCCCTGCTTCCCACAGAGGCAGTCTGCTCCCTCTGCCTGGACCAGCCGTTCTGGGATTCCGCCGCCCCCTGCAGATCTTAGCCCAGGTGTCTCTTCCTCGGGGAATCCTTCCTAACCTTGCCTAAGTCTTTATGCATTTTCTAAAACACCACTGACCGCTCTAGTACTTAATGAAGATGTGACCTGACATTTATATTTGTGGTTCACTGGCTGTGCTCCAAGAAGACAAGACCGTTCTGCCTGCTTTGTGGGTTTTTGCTTACTGTGGTATTCCTGGCACACGGGACCAGACCTGGTCCTGAGCAAATATTTGTTGGATGAATGACTAACATCCACATGACATACAGTGGAACAGAGGAGAAGGAGCGTATTTATTTTCCAGGGGTATCTGGAAAGAACTAGAGAAGAGGCAGTGTTTGAGCTGAGACCCTGAGGACATAAGGCCTCCGTGGGCACAGAGGTGGCGGGTGGGGTGTTTCACGTAGACGAGGTAGCGTCTGCGAAGGCACCGAGCTCGGAGAGCATTCTGTGTCTAGAAAACTACTAAGTAAGGCTGATTTCTAGAGTATGAATCGTGAGCGGGGGAGTGGAAGGAGGTGAGGCTGAAGGGTGAGGCAGGCAAATGACCAGTCTTTTCTGCAGAGGCGTTTAGATGTGACCTCACTGGTTTTCAAATGAGTTGAAATTGAAATGGAGTTTCAGGAGGGCCTGAAATTCATTGGGGAGTCAAGACTAGCATTTTTTTAAAAAGTGAAATACATCAGACTAGAAAATATCCGATGAGATTGTGAGTGATAAGGCTAGGTGTGCTGTGGTGAAGCTTTTGTTTCTGGTGTGTGTGTGTGTGTGTGTGTGTGTTGTGTACGTATGTGTGAGTATGCTGGGTTACAGTGTAAAATGGATTTCTTACTTTGGATTCAAGTATAGAAGGTCTGAATGTTGCTGTTGGAGGTGTTAAGGAGACTGATTTCAGCCAGGGGGGATGTCATGATCAGACGTACTGTTATGTAACTTGTAGTGTGGCCCGGGAGACTGGGTGGGAAGAGACAGGAACGCGGTCAAGGCCATTGCAGCAGGCATGTGAGGGAGGAAGGCTTCACACCCGACAGTGGCTGCTGGATCAGGAGGTGAAACTGCCAGGACTTTATGAGTAGACGTGTTGGTGGCAGAGATGAGGGTGACTCCCAGGGTGGCTGGTGTGGCCGTGTCACGTGGGTAGTGTATTTTGAGATCCTACAAATCTGAAAGTGGGGTTTCCGTACCCCAGAGCCTGTCCTCAGCCAGCGTGAGCGCCGCAGGCTCCCTGTCCCCACCCCAAGCCTGGCCGAGACGCTGCTCTGTTGACAGCTCTGTCTCCTGGCAGGTGCCGTCACCAGGGAAAAGCTGTGAAGACATTCTCACTTCAGTTCCTCAGCGGGGAACCCTTTCCCTGCTCCTCCTCTCCCTCTGTACTTGTCTCCCTCTCCTTCCAAACTATTTCCTTCTGCCCTTTTAAAGCCAGGAAGGATATTGGAATGTTTAAAGCGTTACCTCTGGATGGCAGGATCTTTAATTTATTTTTTGTGTGTGTGCTTTCCTTCGTTTTCTAAACTTTCTATAATTTAGAATCAATTTTCTATTTATTTATTAAATACAGTATTTTACATTTGTAGTGAAGTTTTCTGTCATTTTCTGTAATACATTTTACTTAAAATACTTTTTTTTCTTATTATGAATGTGTGCGTGTTGGTTTTAAACAATTAAAAAGAATGCATCCGTGTATTAAGCACAATAGGCTCATACCCAGTAACCCCACTCCCCGGGGAAGATGACTCAGTGTTTCGGAGAGCTTTTTCCTGTGTACATCCTGACCACATAGTCATATCTCAGTATTAGTTATGAGAAGTGACTGCCATCCCTCTGTCCCTCTGTGACTTGTTTTCTTATTTAGCAAAGAGCACGGACACCTTTCATGCCAGTTACATCTAAGATAGAAATCAGAAATCCAAAACTATAGGGGAGCCAAGGAAACAGTGCAAATGAGGGAAATGAATTAATGTCATCTTGGGGCCGTGGGCGGGCTTGTAAGCTGACACATACACACCCCTCATCTAAACAGGCAGCCAATACTTAGCTCTAGATTTTTGGGGTGTTTTACTTTTTGGTCATGTCCTCCCATTCTCCTGCCCATTCTGTCATTGTTGGATTTTTTTCAGTATTATTTTTCCAAGAGAAGTTAGAAATCTGTAATTGTTTACTTGAATTATTCCAATTTTCCATACACAGTGAGATCTGTCTGCTGGTGGGGCTGCGGCCAGGGCTGCTCCGGTTTGCCGCTTGCTATCAAGTACCTCCTTCTGTTTAAAGTAGCCTTTTTTGTTTCTGTTTTTCAGTGTCTAGCATCTTCTCCTTTTATTTTTTTCCCATTTACTTCTCATTGAAGTTGATGTGTCTCTTTCCACAATACTGCGGGACATGCTATGTCAGATTTGAAACTGACAACAGATTGAAACCGGCATGGTCCCGTTAAATCCCGCAGCAGTGTCAAGAGTTTCACTGGGGTCTCATGCCAGAGGCTGTTACTCTACTTTCTTAAATATAGAGGGAAGGATTCAGAGAAGAGCATAAGGGTTGCAGAGGCTGAGCTAAATGGAGACCAGAGGCATTTCACTCAGCAAGTGGGGGTTGGGAGGCACTTCATCCCACTGGCCCGGCCGTGTGCAGGGGCTCGATGGTGGGGCAGCAGATGCTCTGTCCTTGGGCTGGAGAGGGGTTTCATCCAGTCCGCGTGGGAGCAGGCTCTGGTTCTTATCGTGAGCCATTAGAGTAAGGGACCGTATTAATCCCCCGGCAGGTCTGTGGAGCTGACACGTCGCTTGGTCCTTGTGCTGGCTCCGAGGGGTTCTTTTCTTTTCAAAAATAATCTCACAACTGTATGAAAGGAGCCAAACTAGGGAGAGGCGTGGCCCAGCCCCTGACTCCTCTGTCCCCTTCTCCGAGCCTCCGTTTGCCCTGTAAGCCGTGATTGCTGGCGCTGCCAGTCACAGACGTGTTGAGAGGATGACATTTTAAGTCAGACGACCGTGTGAGCGAAGCCAGCACAGAGCTCAAGAATGCTGGTCTCTTCATTTTTTATTATTTTTTTAAAATACAAAATTCTCACTTGCGTCTCATTCAAATGAGCTGTCAGAACATAGGCCTTTTTGGCTGGGAACTGCGTACTGATTGACATGAATGGCAGTAGCATAATGTAGAGCTGTCCTCTGTGGCATGAACATGCTTTAAGCAGAAACTGATTTTTGTTTTGTTTTGTTTCATTTCGCTTATAGTTTTTGACGTGTTTCTGTTTTGGTCTGACTAGGAGGAGCCTGATCTGGTTAGTGCAATTTATGGCCGAGGGATAGCCTATGGAAAGAAGGGACTACATGTGAGTATGGAATAGTTATGTTCACCGTAGCACTTCCGGGGCCGGACTCGGACCAGGGACACGCAGGGGTGTCGCTCCAGTTCCCAAAGGAGACACTGGCCGTAGAGGACTGACTCCGCCTCCAGTGGCTGGGCAGTGGGGGGGAGGTGCTGGGAATTCCTACCCAGATTTGCCGAGGTCAGCTTCCCCGTACTAGCTCCTCCAGGGACAGCCTTTGCCAGACTAAATTTGATTTCATGATGAGCTGAACATCAGCCAGGAGAAGTCTGAGCCCCTTGCCTGAGTTCCTAAGAAATACTCACTGGCACAAGGAGAGACTGGGTATCAGTAGTGCAGTCAGACTTAGAATCTGAGTTCCTTTCATGACTTTTAAAGGTTGAGTAAAAGAACACTTTTCTTTTTTTGGTGAATTATTTATTTATTTTTACTGTTTTTATTAAAAAAATTTTTTAAAACAATAATACAGTCATTATATATTGATATAGCATTGTAACACATTGATTTCACCCTTTGTAGGTAAAGATTTGAGAAAACATTTTCATATACTCTGTATGAGAAAGTGTAAATGTAAAAATTTTGTTTTTCGTTTTCATATTTTTTTCCATTAAAGGTTATCACAGGATATTGAACATAGTTCCCTGTGCTGTACAAAAGAAACTTTATTTTTTGGTAGAATTTATTTTTAATTTATCATCTATTATACTTTCCCAGATGAGTATGTCTTTGTAGCCTTATTCCCTGTTTCTCTGAGGACTTCAGGAAGAAGGCTGTAATAAGTGTATTCTGCTCAAACAAAGGCACCATGGTATAAAAATGAAGACATTCCTGAGATTATATAGTAAACTAAAAATATATATATAAGCTTGAATGTCCAAATTTTTAGTCTAGAACATTATATATGAAATTTTCTATTATTTTATATTAAAAATACTCAAATGAAATCATGCTTTGAGGGAGAAATGTCACTTTTGTATCTTTACCAATTAAAAAAAATTGTCCTAGTCACCTGCTGGCCTATTGGAAAAATCTTGTCTAATATTCGTATACTTCTGAGACGTGGGGGACTGAGAAGGAACTCAGATTTGGGAATAACGAGGTTGTTTAAGAAAGAAACAGTGTTACGTTCAGAGCATCACTCGATAACCCTAGTTAGGTTCAGGGCTTCAGTAAATGACTAGTGTTGCCCTAGTAAAAGTCAGAGATAAACGGCGTCTTCCTAAGCCTCATCCCTTTTAATTTCGTATCTTGATATGAAATTTGCTTGTATCTTTAATGTGTTTAAAATGTAAAAGTAACATGCTCCTATACCTTTGATAAAAAGGTATGTGCAAATTTTAAAGAGAACTTAACCTGGACTTCCTAAGGGGTAGATGTGTAGGCCTGGGGGTTTGATTGACAATGACTTGGCTCCTTTCTGGAGCAGTGGCAACAGCCCCCGGTTGGCAGCCTTCTGCACACTGGTGTCCACATGCTCAGCCCTTCACGTTTGTTGATGGGCTGTTTAAATAGCTTACATTGCGAAAATCCCTTGCTATCCGTGGAACTCGGGATAGCTGCTCAGGTCCAGGGTGCTATCGGTGGGCAGGGAGACTGGAGCCAGTTAAACAACTGTAATGGAACCCATTTAACTTGGCGGATCTCTTGCATAGAAGCTACATTCATATTTATCTCCAAATAAGTAGTTGTGTTGTTACCAAATGATGAGTTTTTCAGAAAATCAGTTCAACCTGGGTTTGAGTCACAGTGTATCTCATACCAAGCTAATGCCTTTTCAAGGACATTAAGAATGCTGAACTTGCTCTGTTCGAACTGAGCCGAGTAATTACCTTGGAACCAGATCGTCCAGAGGTATTTGAGCAGCGAGCAGAAGTGAGTGTACTTTTCTTTCTCCCTCTGTCTCTATTGGCCTAGTTGAATCTCAGACTTTTTTTTCCTGTTACTTGATGACTTACGCATTTTAAACCTCCCTTATAGCTATTGTGTTTTCCCTCCGTAGGTGCATAGATGCCCTTAAGCATAGTTGAAATTAATAGAAATTATGGGCCAAGCGAGACTGCTGATTTAGCCCATAAGAGTAATATTTAGTATTAAAATATACAGCTATGATGTGTCCGACGCTGTCCCAAATGGGTCACACATGTTGGCTACTGTACATATGACGTACTTTGGCCAAACAGTGCGACAGGATGGTCAAATGAGATTTATAGCCTTTAGAAGCATGTGTGTGTGTGCACTTGTGTATAATTCTTATGAGATATACCTGTCTACCTAGAGACATAGATCAGGTAAGGTGACCACAACTGGAACTTAGGACTCAAGCTGGAGACAGAGAGGCAGCATTTGGTGAAAATATCAGGTAATGCATGTGACAGTGGGCACTGAGAGGGGGTGCGTCTGCAGGAGCGGGAAGGCATGACCTGCCAGAGCTCGGGGACAGGTTGGCCAGGGGACAGGCGTTGGCAGTGTTTGCAGAGGCCCCACCGAAGGGGTCCTTCTGGAGCCGGTCAGATCCCATGTCCCAGGGGACAAGGTAGAAAATAGTGGTCAGGCCAGAGAACGGAGGGTATGCAAAGCCACCCCTTTTAATGTTTTTACATGAAGTGTGTCCATTTTGCCATTTTCATAAAATAACAGTCAACTATCCAGGTTTCATGTTGTATTTATTTTACTGCACGTTTAACCATGTTAAATGCCTTAGAATTTATGTTAATGTATTCAATCTGAATAAAACTTTTAATCTGATCTGGTGGGATGTCATAGTTGGACTAAAAGAAAGAAAAGGACTTCCCCTCCCTCTTTTGGGGGAGAAAACTTAGCAAGTAAGAGGAACACTAAGTGTTTTAGTATTTTAAAAGCTGCATTTGTGATGTTTTTGTTCCCAAAATGATAGTGTCTTAAGTTATTGTTCAGTTTCTTTAAACGAATTTTATGTTTGATTGAGGATTTGTCTTTCCGAATGAACTTCTTTCTCAATTAGTAGAATAATTCATTATCTCTTGTCTATTTTGGATCGTAACACTAACCCTAAAGGTGAAGTGACTGTAATTTGTTCATTGCTGCACAAAAGCCCTGTGGCGTTTAGGGGGACCGTTTGGTGGCTCACTTGGTGACCACCTGCTCCTGGAAGGGGGTGCTGAAGGTTCCCCCCCTTACTCTGATGTTCCGCTGAAACGTTATAACAAAGCATGTGTTTAATTCAGTGGACTTAGAAGACTGATTTAGCAGCTTTAAACAATTTTATATGTCTAATAAAAGCTAATTGTGTACCCCTAAATGATACTAATAATCAGAGAAGTAGTTTTCGGTTATCTTAAAAATGTCCAATAATGTTCGCCTTTTCTGGCATCACTGGGCAGCGATGTCATGACATAGTGAGCTTTCCAGCTAAATGATCGCATACCATTCATACATGGCAGACATGACCTTATGAGAAATCTTTCACTTTTATACTTTCTGAAGTAGTTTGTATCTAGTGAACGTAATTTAGTGACTCTTTCAGTGACTCTGGTCATTATGTGCATGTTGCTTCTTGTGCTGGGGTGTGATAATTCAGTTGTGTCCCTGGGGGTTAACATACGAGGTCAGGATGTTTTTCCTTCTGCACATAACCCCAGACCACCATGCTTCTTGAATTCTCAGGGCGTATATTCCCTTTCGTTCCTCTTTTTGAGCTGTCTTTCTTGCCCCTGGCGAAGTGCCTGCCTGAATCTTCTCTCTTCCGCTGGTTTTAAGTTCCTGCAGAGGAAGAAAGCTGTTAGTGAAACTCGATGGCAGTGAGCTGCCATAAGAACAAAATCGACCCTGACTTAAGGCCATCTGTTCCAGATAAAACGCTTGTGCTTGATTGCGTGAGCACTGATGCCCATTTCGGGTTTTCTGCCGTCTCCTGGGTGTGCTTCTGCACTCTGGGCTGTCTTCTGCATTGTCTTTGTTGGCTGAGCACAACTGACTGCTGGATCAAAAGAGCGCTCAGAACAGGCCTGCAGATGTTTTGTGTCCTACTTTGGAGACCTTGACTGACGAGCTGAGAGTTGTTCACACGAGAGGGCTTGCAAAATGCCTGGAATCTGAGAAACTGCCATTCGGCACTGACTGCAGAGGGCATAGCCAGAGAGCGTGGAGGACTCTAATCCGTGTTTAACGGTTCCTCTGTTTTCGTGGTTCAAAGTTATCTTTCAGATGAACTTGACATGCCAGATTTTGTTTTGAAAGGTAAACAGTAGATTTCGGGGTGGGGGGAATGGTCAGACCTGAAGAGAAGCAACGTCTGTGATGACCCAGGGCGTGAAACAGTGGCAAAGCGATTGATTACCATGGTCATAGTTGATCAGCCTCCTCTCGGTGGGGCAGCCGCCCCTGAGCTGCTGACTTTGAACCTCACTGCGTCCTAGTAGGCGGGGCCAAGGGTCTCCGGCTGCCGAGAGAGTCACGCTGTGAGTGTGAGGTGGTGAGTCGGAACGAAGAAGTCAAAAACACTGGCAGTTGTAGGGCTCATCATTGGGGTTTCGCTCCCCTAATTACATTTTTGGATTTAATAGATTCTGTCTCCTCTGGGACGAATTAATGAAGCCGTGAATGACCTCACTAAAGCTATTCAGCTGCAGCCCTCAGCACGGCTGTACAGACACCGAGGGACGCTGTACTTCATATCAGAGGTGAGTTTTCTTCGCCTGGAAACGTTTCCTTCCATGAGGATGAAGGGTTCGCCTTTGCTTCTACGTCAGAAAACCGCTGGTTGATAGATTTGGGCTTGGGGCTGCATGATAAAGCGTTTGTGATATAAAACAGTTGCAGAAGGATTTCCTTTAGCTGAAATTGAACCCAGTGGAGAAATATTAAGTAGCAGGAACACATTTTCTTGCTTGAGATGTCAGCAGCAACTAA